TTTTTGATAAACAAAGTTTCTTCTTGTTCTAATTTGAAATCTTTGCCCCCACAAGACTGTCTAACACTAGACAGGATATTGATTCAGTCTTGTAAGCATACAACTCGAAACTCTATGCGATCTGCACATGCGCGTACTTCTAATGCCTATAGACAGACGCATTCCGATGAGATCACAGATACCACATTTGTAAACGAATAGTTTTTTTGTCATATAAAAGCCAAGTAGCATATAGCATTTACTAACGATATTCGTACATCAATACGCTTGAGCTTCCGGTTATGTAATAACACGGCCAGCCCAATAGTTAATTATTAAATTCTTAACTTCCGGTGGTCCAAACGCGACATGACCGCAGATAGATTGGCTAAAAGGTAATTTTAAAGTCGGACCCGCCTTCGGCTAGTCCGACTAATAACGAATCATGATAATATTTCCAGAAAAAGGGTCTCTCTAGCGAGAGACTTCGGTTAGGATCCAGAATGTAAGAAGCAATGGCAATTTTTCCTTTTCTATAGACCACTGTTCGAAACATCATAAAATGATTAAAAATATAACTTTTCTATTGTTGTTTAAAATATCCTTTATTTCAATCGCGGAATGATTTCAAAGCAAGAATCTTTAGTGTGTACTGTTCCTCTTTGATATTTCACTGAAAATAATGAAAATAATTTGAAAGAAACAATAAATAACTGATAATGAACTAAGATCATCGTGATGACAACAAAAGTTAAAGTTTCAACTTTAGAACTATCGAAGCTTGAAAGAAAATTAGCCCTTAATTTCAGGATTACATTCTAAGTGGCAATCTTCCGTGTGTGCAAAAGGGAATCAGTTCCAAGGCAGCTGTAATGGCACTTGTTAGTCTCTTTGTCTTTGGTGTTTATAGACTTTATATTCCAAACTTTTAGATCRGTAAATAGAAAAAATAATAATTGTTTGCTTATATTGTTTCATTMTTTTTTACATGTCTTTATATGTCGCTGATATTTCGACACTGGACAGCTCTATTTAGATTGTAAAAGGTAATAATTAGAATCTGTATAATCAGGGTAGGGAGCCTCTAGCAAGAAATCGGCAAACATATTGATAGAATTGTAATAACCTTTAATTCTCCTATTGTCCTTTATGAATGGAAAAGTGGTTGAGAGATTATTGTATGACTGCTATTAAGAACTCTGCAAGATGAAAAGATTCTTAAACGGTTACTTTAAATACTCTCTTATAATGTATCAGTTTTTGRTCAACGTCATAGTTTTTTCAACCTTAAAGAGTGCACTGGCCATGGGAAAATTATAGTAGACATACTTACYTATTTATTGTACAACTTTGTGCAAATTTGTAAATGGTTTTCATAGAGAACAATGTTGATTCAAATGATGTTTCGCTTTAGTTGAAGATTTAGTACGAAATCCTTCTTTTTTAGAAAACTTTGACGAAGTAAATSCACTGTTTCTTAACTAGAGACCAACTAGAAAACCGACCAGTTTMTTTAATCTTTCGCCGCAAAAAAAATATTGACATTTTCTTGATTAGAACTGTCTTAATATACATGACATCAAAAGCATTTATTGTCATGTTTCATTATTTACAGAGTGCAAATCAAAAGAAATTTGTGGACGCTGATGTAAGTTATTTCAGTTTTCAAAAAATTTGACAAACGGATTTCATGCTAAATTTCAGACACCAAGAGATGTGTGAGAAATATATGGCCTGATTATCCGAGTGGATGAATAAGGGACGTTCAGGACACCTTGTAGAGCTTTGAAGCACTATATGATGGTGCTTTCGCTTGATTGAGCTACTCACCTTTTGTGAAAATAGCCCAATTACAAATGCAAGTGAACAATTTGCAATGATTTCAAATCTCTTTTTATTCAAATATGAATGAATGTCATTCAAAGTTCAAAGTGCAACTTTATTTCCGTTGTTTGGCTTTATAGGGGAAGAAGGAGTATACTTGAAAATACTTGACATRGTGTTATATCTTTAATAAAATTGTTCGACCCAGTTAGATAGTGTTTTAGAATATGTTTCGTATGGGTACACGCTAAAGAATTATTGTAAAATTGTTGTAAAGTTACCTGCAAGAACCTTGATCTGCTCAGCCTGCCAAGCTCTTCTACTGAATGCAGCGTCTTTCTTTTAGACGTGATATTTGTGCAAAGCCTAAGATCTCAATGGACTCTGCATTGGCCAACAGATGCAAACAAACATTGATCAATATCTAATGGTGTTTCTTTGTTTTCAAAGTTWCATTTCCACGGTGATGACTTCGGCGCGAAAAAACTTTGATTGATTGAAAAGAACTTTGGTGAGAGAAAACACTCGATCTGCGAAACGAGACTGCTTCTAACAAACACTTCATTTTGGGGCAATTCATTAAGACACTATTTCAACTTGATCGGTCTAAGAAAGGCAAAAGAAAAGAACAATAGAATAGCTTTCATAAACCCGTCAAATACACTTAAGCGTCCTACAAATTATTTCTCTTTAAATTCAAATCTAACTTAATGAGACGGTATGTATTGTTTGTATTATAAGATAACTCGAACCTCATTACAACTGTACTTTCTTAAACTAGTTCAAGAAAAGATGCTTGGTTTGGACTTGATTGTTCACTAAATTTGTATGTAGCGTGATCACTCTTGTTTAATCCGTGAGATTGTGCTAACCTCTAAGTACTGTCATCTGCAATTTAGTAAATGTATTCAAAAAGAACAATGGGGATTTAAAGAATGCCGGCTCCACTTCAGTTGCATATATTTTGTGAAAATTTATATCGTTTTGATTTTTGATTCCCGTTTGATTTACGGATCAAATAAGTTCATCTATCTGTAACAAGCTTTGAAAAGCTGTCAAATAAACATTTTTTAAATTGTTGAAATATTAATTAATTAAGATTGATTTTTATAAGATTAACGAAAATAGAATTATTGGGTGGCATGCCACTGCATCGAAATCATTGAAGTCCTTCAGAAGCACAGAAAAAGGTTATTGTTGTCAAGGTTAGTCATGCAATGAACAAGTGAAACTTAGGAGGAATTGCGATGTTTACATCATGATAAGAGATACAGTATATAATCAGCTTCGGATCTTATGAATCAATAGTATCATTGAATGTCGTTTTCCATGTTAATGAAGATAAAGGATCGAGATTGAGATATTAGCTTTTATTACTGCTCACCATTAACTATATAAAGACGAGCAGAAGACTGGGAATGAGCATCTTAAACGGTCCATGGAAAGAGTATATCTAAACTAATAAATTGGCGGAGTTTTGGTYTCAAATGTTGAATATCAGCAGAGTTGAGAGTATTTTTAAATACTCGAACTTTTTTAAAAAATGTAACAACGTGAAACTGACGAGCCTGATCAGAGCCYTCAAAACTGATTTTCACTCAAACCTTTGCAATTTCAAACACCTGTGTAATTTTACGTCCCTAAATGTTACAGCATTGAAATGTTCAGATCTTACTCATTATAATATGTTTTTTGTATGGCTAATGAGGTATTAAACAGCTTATAAACTAAGGCGTTACGGTATCCACACCCTTTTTCATGTGGTCTATAGAATGTACTAGCATTATGTATTATATTACCTCTTAATATCAAAACTGGACATAAGCCTTTTATGAAACCATGCACTCGAAAGATAAGTAGTTTCCTTTGATTTTCCTACCCTGCTGCTCCTATTGTGCAATGATCCAGTAATGACATCCACTCGAAAGATAAGTAGTTTCCTTAGGTTTTCCTACCCTGCTGCTTCTATTTGCAACGATCCAGTGCAGTAATGAAAACAATGCCAATTTCCTTATGGACAGGCGGAAATGTTTGTGTCTGTCACTAAGTTCTTTTTTCAGTTGATACTAATGTCAATATTCATTGCATTTACACTCGAAATTTCCGTACACGGGCACATAAAAGTGAACGAAACTCATTTTATTGAGGTAAAAAATAAATTGTGGTTTCGTTTTTTTAAGGCCGGAAGACTTTTTTTCTTGCAAAAATCCCAGTAATGAATGTTATCTTGCATTTTTTCTTAAATATTCCGATAACAGTACTATAGATATTGTTAACCGATATCGCCCAGCTTGAAAAAAAGCGATAAAAATGTGATTACAAAGGTTTTTTGTAACCCGTAAAACGTTAGTATGAGAGTGAATGGTGTGATGGTAAGCGAGGTAGGTGTCAGTATTATCGATCTTGTGCAAGAAGTCTTCAGAAAGACTGCGCATGGCCGAAAATCTATCGTCGCTACGTTTTCAAATTTGTTGACGAGGACGGGGCAATAAGTAATGTATACGGATAAATATCTTGTCAATCTTGCCAATAGGGAAAAATAAATGAATTATGCTAAAATATTTCACTATGTTCTAAAATCCTCCTATTTGTGCAACTTTAAAGCACCGTTGACAAGGGAAAGTGCTCTTGTAGATGGGGTAAAATGTTCGCTCGTGTAAATAGACAACAAGAAAAATTTGGCAAGGAATATTCTTTATGAGATTAGCTCCCAGTCTATTCGCGCGATCACTGCACAGCAAACAATTATGTCGGCAAAGAAAAAGGATAAGTCCACAAGCAATAAGTCTTCTCTGCTTTCTCCTATACGTACGCCATTTTGTTTATCATTGTTGATGTACTCCGCTGACATCAAGATATTGCAGACACAACCAAAACTTGTCAAGGAAAACTTTACACTAGCAAAGAAAAATTGTCAAGGAAGAATCGTCAAGGAAAACTTGTTGACCATTCACAYGGGCAAATTTTCCTTGTCAAGAAGCTTGTAAAGGAAAATTGCTTGTGTAAACACCGCTTTAAGCTCTAGTGTACTTTTAAAAAAACTTTATTTCTTGCATTCTGAATAATGAAAGTTACATTGCAGTTCGCYTGATTGAAATTTCAGATTTGAATAGAATAACTCTAATTTCAAGATTTTCACATATTGTCTATTGTTCTGTTCCCGACTACAACTACGTTGGCTGATAAACGACAATATTCAAATCAATTCAATCTTTAGTCACACATAAAAKGATATTGGAGTACAGTACGGTACAGTACGTAACGGTAAATTACAGSAAGAATATCATTCTTTTAATGAACAGCAATTCAGAAAGTCTACGTTGTAACAAAATTTCGATAGTTAAAGCTATTCTAAAAAATTTATACTCCAAGAGAGTGAATTGTATAAAAGTACAAAACAACATATGGAAACCGCGTTACTTATTTCTAATACATGTCATTCCATTATTTCATTATTATTTCGTTAATTTCTTAGACCTGCTCGTGTAGATTTCTACAGTGTAATCAACGCCTTCAAATTCTATGCCTTTACCAGAAAAATTATCGGTCAAGATCTTATCAACCTTCTCAAATTCTTTAACGTGGTCATCACCTCCTGACTTAACTCCTCCGTATGACGCAAACATCGTCACACACTGCTGCTGGGTCAGGCGTTGATAGATTTTGAACATAAAATTGCTTTTAACCTCATGAAAGAGACCCGATTTGTCTAGTTCCTTTATCCATTTCATATCGTGATTTTGTGGTGCCTTTGTCTTTTCATAGCTCTCATATATAAGTTTGTTTATTTCCTTAACCCATGGGAAGTCGTCTGTCTCAGTTGGCCAGGGTATTATGTATCCTAGCATTCCGTTAGGCTCCAAGACGCGGTACATTTCACGGAAAGCCTCTTGGTTAGCAAACCAGTGAAGACTGGCTGGTGCAAGGACAGTGTGTACACTGTTATCGGGTAGCGCTGATGATAAGAGAAATTCGCATTATTTTTTCAAAAATATCATAGGTTTTACATAGATTTTATAAAAAAGCAACACATGTAGACATTTCCTTGCAAGGTTTGATTGCCAGAAAAATTACTTACGGATGTTTTCKGCCTTAAAGTTGAATATCTCTACATCTGGCAGAGACTGTAAAAATGTTGTCCTCATGCTTTCAAGAGGGTCTGATGCAATGTATCGAACATTAACGGCGTCTTTCAAGACTCTTTGTGCAGTCTGCGTGAATAAACCTGTTCCACAACCAAGTTCCAATACTGTAAGAGCATCGTTTCTTGTAGCTTGATCTTGAGATAGGACACCAGTTTCCAAGAGGATGTATTCAACGCACTGAAWGGAGTAATCTGGCCTTAACTCATGATAAGCGTCACTACTTTTAAAAGCCTTTTCAGCAAGATTAAACTGTGCTTGGAGCTTTTCGTTGTCAGACATGTTTGATCCTGTGTATATTTAAGAAATATTGAGCATTAGACTACACAAACCTCTTTTAAACACATAAACCGCTGAAATATTGAGCATTAGACTATACAAATCAGAGAAGTCTAAGTAATATATAAAATATGAGCGGGAGACCTTTATGGGAATT